TTTTTAAAGCTAAACTTCCTGAGAAAACTGTCTACAACTGGAGTTTCCACTTCTTCTCCAATCAACTGTTCTTAATTCTCTGCAGTCTGACTTCCAACCTCATTATTTAACTGAAACTGTTCTCTTAAAGTTTCCAGCTATTTCTTAATTGCTATGTTTAATGGCCATTTCTCAATCCTCATTCACCCTCTTCTTGATAATCTTTTCTATGAGTTTTACATGACATCAACTCTTTTCTGGTTCTCCTCCTACTTATCTGACTACTCTTTCCCAGTCTTCTCTGCAGGATCTTCATTGGGGTCACACCTGGATGAGGATGTCCTCTAAGGTTCTGTCCTGGGAAGAAGATTAAATTGATGATCACTTTTTAATTGAACCTATTTACAATTACTTGATTTTGTCCTAAGTCATGGTTCTTTGTCTCTGAACTCAGTTTAGAAATTTAGCTGACCTGTAATGAATTAAGTTTAGAAATGCAGTTCTCCTGCTAATCACTGTTCTATTCTTGCCTCAAGGAAATCTGTTATCCTTAAGGGATGCAGGTGGACACAAGGGGTCTGATCTAGTATTTTTATACCAAGCAATCCTTCAAGGATGTCTGGTTTGCTATCCAAAGAATAGCAATAATAGCAAATGTCTGGTCCACTGTCTCTAACTTTTCAAGTGGACTCAATGAATATTTCTTAGCCATAGGAGGGAAGAAGGGGGTTGTTACTAGCCCCTCATCCCCAATTTCCAACCAATCACATTGTCCCCCATGCCTCATCTCTGTAACCAATCATGTTGTCCTCACCCCCTCCACGCTGCCAACCCTTAACCAATCATAAGTTGTTCTCTGCCTTCAAGATCCTGTTCTTTGTTCTGTACTCCCCAAAACTATGAAAGAGAGTTGTCCCCCTCATTTGGGGGTCTTATTTTTGCTGAGGAAGCTGAGGTCTTATTTATTGGTAAATTTACCCTTTACTAATAAACTGATCATGCTTGGAACTTTGTGCCTCAGTTTACCTTATTTCAACTGTTACACTGGGACCTCTTCCCTCTTGGTGATCTCATCAGCTCCCACAGATCCAATTATCATCTCTAGGCTGATGATTCTCAAATCCACTAATGCAGACCTAGCTCTCCTAACCTCCAATCTCACATCTCTAAGTGCCTACTCAACATCTCAAACTGGACGTCCCATAGACATCTTAAACTCAACATGTCCAGACTTGAACTCATTTTATTTACTCCCAAATCTCCTCCTTTTCCAACTGTCCCTATCACTGTAGAGGGCACTCCCATCCTCCTGGCGCTCCAAGCTCCCAACCCAGCCAGTCATCCTGGATTGCTCCTTAACTCTCTCCCCTCCCCCTATCCATCTGTCGCCAAGGCCTATTGATTTCACCTTTACAACATCTCTAGTATACACCCCCTTCTCTCCTCTGACACCCTAGACACTCTGGAGCTCGTGGTGCCTTAGAGCCTTAGGATGACAGCCTGTTATGTTAGTCCTCGATCCCAGGACCGAGAACAGATCCCACAAATCGAGCATTTTCAACTTGAGATATTTAACAGAACTTCAGGGCTGAAAGGAACTTAGTCCAATAGCCTCGTTTTACAGAAGGAGCCTGTGAAGGCATGGTACTTATTTGTGGTATCACAATGGCAGTGCTGGAAATAGAAACGGGGTTTCTTGACCAATAAATAAGTCTAAGGGAGACAGCTTGAGTAAAAACCTAGTTCACAAGCAGAAAAAAGCAGTGAGCTTCCTACATCACACTCATCTGGCCTCTTTAACAAAACCGAACCCAGGGCCTCCAGTCAGTCAGTAAGCATTTATTAAGTGGTTACTCTGTGCTGAGCACAACAGTGATAGGGTGAAGACCTCAGGGCCTCTTTCCCTACAAGCTAAGCAAGCTCTCAGTGACTTTCCTCCTTCCTGAAAAGGGACTGGTATCCTTAGGTGGCTGATACAGCCACCATTTCCCCCCATTTTAGGTAGGTGATCATTTGGAAACCAATAATCCCAGCTGTGGCCATAGCCAATGTTAAGTGTCTGCCTTGGGCACCTCCCCAGGAGGCCACAATTATGATACCTGGACCACTGAAGATGAACAGAAAAAGGGAAAGTCCAATCTCCATCTCCTAGGCCCTCTAGGATCGTATTAGATCAGGGACAGATAGGTAGTGCAGGGGGAGCCAGGAAGCCTTGAGTTCAGATCTTGCCTCAGACACTAGCTATGTGATGTTGGGCAAGTCACTTAACCTCTTTGCCTCAGTTTCCTCATCTGTAAAATGATGACAATCTCACCTATTTCCTGGGGATGTCATGAGGATCAAATGAGACATCATAAAGCACTTACCAATTAGCGCCTGGCATATAGTAAGCACCACATAAATGTTAGTTATTTATGATAGTATAATAGAAAAAAAAAAAAGATCCTGATTTGGTGGCATAGGTCCTGCCTTGGAATTCCAGCACTTGTGTGGCCCTGGGTTATGACTTCTCTTTACCCCATAAGCCTCAGTCTCCCCATCTATAAAATGAGAGGACTGGCCTAGAAGACCTCTGAATTTCCTTCCAGCTCAGATGTTTTGATTCCAAATGTCCACTAGTCACAGACAGAGTTGCAGACACCTGAAGGAAGGTTAGATCAGTGTAGGCAAAGGACAGGGAAGGTTTTCTGGCCAAAGTATACACCTACACATGCACAGGGGGAGGCATTTGGAACCTTGGGGCCTTCCTTGAGGAAGTATGTGGACCAACATTTAGCTGTGTGGTCTTGGACAAATCCTTGAGCCTTGGTTTCTTCCTTTGTACAATAAATTCTCACTATAGTAATAGTGGCTACACCTGGGAATGTACTGGATGTGGAGATGAGCAACATGATTCTTTCAGACCCTGCACCTCCTGACCTTAGGTAAGTCACTCAACCTTAATAAGCCTCAGTAAAAGGATGTGGTGAGAGAAGGCTCAGCGCTTCTTCAGGGCTGGGCCTGCCCCTTCTCGTAGCCCACAACTGCCTCAGCCCTAGCCTTGACCGCATGGGATATTCTCTCGTCTCCCTGAGGACCATCCCACAAGCCCAGCTGGCTCCGGCTCCTGCCCTCACTCTGGGTATTGAGCACAGCTGAAGCCCATGGCCTTCAGCAACAGGATGTGGTCTGGCAACCCACAGAGAACACACCCCGCCCCTGTGACCCCAAGGCAACACAGCTGCTCCGGTCACCCCTTCTCCCCCAAGGAAATGTCCAGAGCTCTGTGCAAACACACCCAGAGAGGCATGATCACAGATGCGCCATGGGGAAGGCTCATGTTGACAAGGTTTACCAAATAAATTCATCCTCCTTCTCTCATTTGAGCCGCAGGACAACCCTACAAGGGAGGGTTGCTATTATTAGCCCCATTTTGCAGAAGAAACTGAGGCCCAGAGACTTGCCACAGGTCATGCAGCTATTAAAGTGTCAGATTCAATAATCCAGTCCAAAAGTCATTGTGTTTAGCTCACAGCTGCCTATTATGCACACAGATGTGTGTGTATACACCGATGGGTACACGTGTCTGCATACAAGTGTCCACATACATATGCACACCCAGACACATGCACTCACTGACACCAATAAGCCTGAGAGAGACAGACAGACAGACACACACACACAGGAGAACCCATTTCCAATCTCTTTTCTCTCCGTTCAAAAGGCCAATACCAGAGCTGAGGCTCCCATATCATCTCTCATAATGGACATATACAACGATTTTTTATTTTTTATTTTTTGCTTTTTGGTGAGGCAATCAGAGTTAAGTGACTTGCCCAGGGTCACACAGCTAGTTAAGTGTCAAGTGTCTGAGACCAGATTTAACTCAGGTCCTCCTGATTCCAAGACTGGAGCTCTATCCACTGCGCCATCCTAGCTGCCCCTATACAACTGCTTTCTGCCTTTCTGGATTCCACTCTTTAACTTTGCTGGTAAGAACAGATGGAATTTCCTTTTAAACTATGACAAATGTGGAGTCTCGTCTTCATTCTCCCAGAATAGCCACAAACCCAGGCCCCACTGAGGTCCTTTGGCAGGTACTGGGGTGAGGATTTTCGGCTCTTAGAATCACAGGATATTTCTGTACTCCCATACCCTCAGGGGTACCACGGACATGGGTACCACAAACAAATCCCATGATGATTTGCTGGAGAACGTGAGACTGTTTATCCCAAAGAAGAGAAGACACAGGTGGGAAATATGTAGAATCACTGTCCTCAAGTATCAGAAGGACTATTATGGGGGAGTGGATCAGAATGTGCTGTCCTTGGTCTCACGACGCAGATTTCTGCCTGATTAAGGCAAAAGTTTCTTATTCACTTGAAGGGTGAAGTTTCTGTCTTTAAAATGGAGATGCTTGTGTAAGCTATCTCACAGGATTGTGTTACATAAAGTGCCATGCTGATTTCAAAGCATTAAATTATTGACAAAAGTCAGAGCTTCCCAAGAATTGACGGGGCTGCTGGAGGAGGCAGTGAGTGGCCTGTCACTGAAGGTCTTCAAACAGAGGCTAGATATTGTAGAAGGCACACTGTTCGGGTACTGGACAGCCGTTTGAGACCCAAGATCCCATGACTGTTTAAGAGTCAAATATGCCTGTTTTTATGTCTTAGAGAATCTCAGACCCAGAGGGCACTCAAGAGGGCACCTAGCCCAACCCTTTCTATCATATCCCCAAATGCCCCCAAGGTGACAGGCAGCTCATTACCTCCAGAAACATTCTTTGGGCCCTGATTATTAGAAACTTTTTCCTGTTATCAGGTTTGAGCACTGCTTCCAAGTAAAATACTGACAAATGAAGCTAGAGGGAAGGCCTCCTCAGGTCCCCCCTGCTCCCCTCAGAGATGTGGGGGACCATTTCAGGAGATGGAAATGCAATCCAGTACTCCAAGGGAGACCTGGGAAAAACAAACAGCCAAGACTGATGTCCAAACCAGGACAAAGACTCTCTCTGGGTAAAGAAATACGGGAGAAGTGAGCCGTTAAAAGAATGTACTAAGTTCTCTATTGTTACAGAGGGGTTATCCATGGGCTGCGGATGGTATATTTTCCATCTTACAGCTGCAACATTCCAGGGCAAGGATGAGGGAGGCCCTTCCATCCCCAGGGATTTAGAGAAACAGTGGAGGAGGGGGGTTTTTGCTCCTAAGAACAGCTGGAATCCAGTCCCCAAAGCCAGGCTTGGGGTGTGGATGGTATTCTACTCCCCCTCCCCTCCAATGGCATTAGCTTACTAGGAGCTGCTCCTAATCTTCCTAGTCATCAGGATCTTTCAGGATCACTGAATTTAGTCAGAAGGGGCCCTAGAGTTCTAGTTCTATCTCTTCCTTTTACAGATGAGGACACCGAGGTCTAGAAAGGGGAAGCCATTTGACAAGGGGATGGAGTAATGGAGTAGGGAATGAACCCAGGTTCTGGCTTTAAATCTTGTGCATTTCTGGCTAACCCTGAGAGCTCCCTTGTTCCCTGTGGGACAGAGCAGCCACAGAGGGATATGGAAGAGAGGCTGGTAGCAGGGGTGGTGGGAGGGACAATTTTGTATCTTTTAAAGCAAAAATAAAAACTCAAAGAAATGAGCTTGTGGTGGTGGTGGAATGAGGGGGATGGTAGTGGAAAACATGTCCCAAATCTAAATAAATTTAATCCAGGCCACAGGGTTGGGGAGGGGAAGTGGGGGTGGAGGGTGAAGGAGGATGTCAGAGGAGTTCAAGAGAGTGGGGGTGGGTGAAAAGATGCAAAGTAAACACCCTAGATAGGACTTGGCAAGATTCCTTGCTTGGTTTCCAAAACCAGGGGTGCAGGCTGCTGAGTGCCTGCCTGAGTGGCGTTTCCACAAAAGCCCAGGCCTGAGAGGCCTGACTATATAAGGCATTCTCTGACCAAGGGAAGAAAATTGGGCAACTCCACACATCATGGCCCCCTTTCCCTCCCCCTCCCAGCCTCCTCCCCTCTCCAGATCAGCAGCATCAAAACAAACTCTTGCTGGCAAAGGTCAGGTAGCCAGTGTGGCCAACAGTCTCCCTCAAGGGCACCCCAATCTTGAACTGAGCCTCGCCCAGGACAGGCAAGGGGTCCAGGGCCCCACCCAGATCTGGCAAGGGCAAGTTAGCGGTCCGAACGTTGTACTCTCGTAGCAGGATTTCCAGGGTGGTGACTTCGATGAACCCATGTTCGGCCAGGGCCTGGCAGGTCCGCTGGACTTGCTCAATGCAGGGTGAGAAAGAGCAGAGGCGACCACCTAGGGGAAAGTGGGTGGGAAGGGGGGGGAAGGTAGGAGGAGAGCAGGATTGGGGGTGGGAGGACGGGAACGAAAGAGGAGGGAAGGAGTAGGAGGGAAAACACATCAAACAGCAATGTTATTATCTCCCCATGACTAAATTCAGTCCCAATCTTAGGGCCGTAGGATTTAGGGCTGGGACATGTCTTAGAACAGAGAATGGTAATCCTGGACAGAGATCTTTTCCAGATGAACTAGTGAGTTCACCAATAGATGAAGTGAGTTGGCCAAGGTCTCAATTAGTAAGGAAATTTAGGATTCAAAGTCAGGTGTTCTTACAAAAAAAAAAAAATCCTGCTCTCTTTCTATATCATGTGGAATGACTCCCTTAGTAGGCAATATTTACACTTCACCTCAGTCCTGGAAAAATCTACCCCTATCCCTCCTTCCCAGGAAGAGGAGAGATTACAAGCTCCTATGAGGTCAGGTACTTTTTCTTATTTATTCAATTTGTCGGGGCAGCTAGGTGACACAGTGGATAGGGCACCAGCCCTGAAGTCAGGAGGACCTTAGTTCAAATCTGGCCTCAGACATACAACATTCACTAGCTGTGTGACTGTGGGCAAGTCACTTAACCCCAACTGCCTCATCAAAAAAATAAATAAATAAATAAATAGAATCAATTTGTCCACCTCTTATCCTTAACTAAAGGTTATGGTTGAATATATGAAGACAAATCTCTAAACTGATCCATGATCAGTCTCAGAAGAAAGAGTTCTGGGGGTAGCTAGGTGGCGCAGTGTATAGAGCTCCGGTCTTAGAATTGGGAGGGCCTGAGTTCAAATGTGATCTCAGACACTTGATACTTACTAGCTGTGTGAATCTGGTAAGTCACTTAATGATTGCCTCACCAAAAAGCCAAAAAAAAAAAAAAAAAAAAAAAAGAGTTCTTGATGTAAAGTGAAGTGAGCAGAACCAGGAGATCACTGTGCACAGTAATAGCAATGTTGTAATGATCAACTGTGAAGGACTTGGTTACTCTGATCAATACAATTATTCAAGATAAGTCCAAAGGACTCATACTGAAAAAACAGACAACCGATGAACTCTGCAAATTGAAGTTTAATTTTCTTACTTTATTTTTTTGCTTTTTAAAAAAATATGGCTAATATGGAAATATGGTTTGCATGATTTTACATGGATAATTGATACTGTATTGCTTGCCTTCTCAGTGGATGTGGGAGGGGGTGGGAGGGAGTGAGAGAATTTGGAACTCAAAACTTAAGAAGAAAGAATGTTTACAAAAATAAAGAATAAATTGAAATGTCAAAAAAAAAAAAGAAAGAAAGAGTTCTGATTCTGGAGTCAGAAGACGAGTTCAAATGTCACTTCTTTTTTTTAAAGGTAGTTGGGGTTAAGTGACTTGCCCAGGGTCACACAGCTAGTAAGTGTCAAGTGTTTGGTCTGAGGCTGGATTTGAACTCAGGTCCTCCTGACTTCAGGGCCGGTGCTCTATCCACTGTGCCACCGAGCTGCCCCCCAAATGTCACTTCTGATGATTGCTAGCTGTGTGACCTTGAGCAAGACATGACCTCCCTAGGCCTCAGGTTTCCCTATTTATGAGAGGATTGCATAGATGGCCTCTGAGATTGCTCCTATGATTCTATGATCTTCTAGCACTGGCCTGAGAGCTAAGATAACTGGGTTGGAGTTTAGAGTTCTGCCCTTAAATTGCTGTGTGACCTGAAGCAAGACCCCATCCCCCTCTCTGAAACTGTTTCTTCCTATGTCAAATGGGAATAATGCTTTGTTGCCAGGCAGCCAAGGGGTGGACCAGATAGTCTTGAATTCTGTTTCAACTCTGAGAACCAAGGAGTCATCTTTTTTATCATCTACCAACTGCGCTTGGCTTCAGACACCAGACCAGCTAGGTCATTAGGATCTGTGGTTTGGAAGGAATGAGCTGGGACTGCCATTAGAGACGCAATTCTTCCTCAAGTCCTTTTCTGGCTGTATTACTGCCTCTCCCCACCTTCCCTGGAAACCCCAAATCCCAAGGGATGTAAACAGAACCCTCAACTATAGGGCTCTCCTTACGAAAGAATTTGTGTTTTATTTCTATGGGGAAGAGACTCAGAGGATCATGAGATCACAGGATTTCAAGTTAAAAAGAAACAGTGATCATCTGGTCCAAGTCTCTCATTTTACAGATGAGGAAACTGACTCTCAAGGAGGTTGAGAGATTTGCCTAAGGTCAAAGGGATATTTAAGTGACACAGGAAGGATTCAAACCCAGGTGCTCTAACATTAAATCCAGTGCTCTTTCTGTTATACCATGCCAATGCCTTCCATGTAGCTCTAAGGTAGGCAGAATCAGGAATAAGAAAAACATTCTAGGGGCAGCTAGGTGGTGCAGTAGATAGAGCTCTGGCCTTGAAGTCAGGAGAACCTGAGTTCAAATCCAGCCTCAGACACTTGACACTTACTAGCTGTGTGACCCTGGGCAAGTCACTTAACCCCAACTGCCTCATTTAAAAAAAGAAAGAAAGAAAAACATTTTAACAAAAAAATCAGAGTAGCGGTCAAAGATTCCAGCCCTCTCCTGGGATAGTGAATTTCCCAGTCAGGGTCACTGGAGATGTTCTAGCAAAGACTGGATGGCCACTTGTCAAGGAGACAGTAGAAGAGATTGAGGTGCAGGGTAAGAGGCTGAAGAGATGCCTTCTGAAGTTTCGCCCAGTTCTCAGAGTCTATGCCCAGTTTGGACCAAGGAAAAGAACTCTTGGTATGTGGAGGCACAATAATTGTCTCCCCAAACCTTGCCCCTATGCCCCTTCTTTCTCACGCTGTTCTCAAGGCATGCCTTCTTGCATACACACAAACACACAGGCACACAAAGAAACTTGACCTTATGCCAGGAAATTGCCATACCACACATCCTTTTAGAAGGCACTCCTCCGGTGGCCTTGTCCACCTTGTACCACGCTGGGTAACTTGGCCCACAGAGCACACCTCTTGTCACTTAGCAGAAAAATATAACACAGAGCATGGGGTGCTCATAGTGTTCAGAGACCCTGGAAGTATCTGAATAACAGCCTAATCTTCTCTTTGAGAGAGAAGGGATGATTCACCTTCACTACTACTACCACCACCACCACTACCACCTCACATCTAGCTCAGCTATACTCCGTCCACTCTGAGAAGCCTTGCTTGAGTCCCCCACCCCACAGTGTTCTGAGCTCCCCCAGAACTTAGTGGCTACATCAATCATTTGTACACAGTAAGTGTTCAAAAGGTCTACTGAATGAATCAAATATTGAGATATTTCTTGTAGGTAACTGTTCACATATATAGGTCTCCTCTACCTTCACAGACTGACTCTTCAAGGGTTTTTTAAATCCTCAATATCCCCCAAACTAGAAGCTCCCTGAGGACAGGGCTCAGGTCTAAAGGTCACAATCAGTGTTAGAAGATTACTTACTAGGGAAAAGTAATTTGGGCAAGGGTTAAGGAGGGGAAGCGGGCAACATTTTCCCAATCTCAGAACCCAAGTCCCAGGAAGGGAACTCTGTGAGCCTGGTAAGACATCTGAGCTGAGAGTCCTTGTAAATCTTCTCCCTGCACCCCTCCCTTTACCTCCCCATTCACTGCAATGTGAGGTTTGCTACTAGCCAGACCATCCGTCCTTCCCATGGGTCAAACCACAAAGAAAGGGGCAGGGATGTTTGGCGTTCACTAAGGCAGGCCCTGGGCTGTGGAAGGGAGAGAAAATCATGTTTGGCTTCTTCCCCTGTTACCCTGGTGATCACCTCCATCCCTGCAGAGAGGAGGAGGTTGGGAGAGAGAAAATGGAGATTTCTTGAGATGAGAGGAGAGAGGAGGAGAAGGTAGGAAAAGGAGGGAGAGGAGTCAGAAGAGTGGGAAGTCAGAAGGCAAAGTGGGAAAGGGAGAGAGAAGGGAAGATAGGAAGCAGAGAGGGACCTCTCCTCCCCAGTCCAGTATATGGTGCCTGGGGAAGGACACTCCCCCCCAGCAAAGGCCACGTATGAGTAGTCAGAGAGTGGGGAGAGCTAAAGAGAACCCCAAAGTTGTGAACATGGAAGAGAAGGGGAAAGCTGCTAACACCGTGAAGGCAGGGGGAAAAGCAGGTTTGGGGGAAAGAAAACTTCTCCCTCGGGACAATGGTGCAAAATGCAGACATGAGCCCGTGGGAGGAAACAAGCCAGACGAACTGAATCCATGATCCCCATTCTCAAGGGATCAAGGGACTGAAATCCAGGACATCCCAGCTGTTGCTCTCGAGGCTCAGATTTATCTGGAATATTGCTGGGATTGGGGAAGAGGGCTGGTACACAAGGCAGCACATTCCAGCCCACCTCCACCAGCACCTGCTTCTCTATGCCCCTGCCCCAACGGCCCGTGGCTAGGTCCTCTAATCTCTTCTGGAAGGTGCCGTGGTGTCTCTCACCACCCTTCCCCCAATCCCCCAGCTCAGCTGCCAGTTGCTGCAGCATTTTAGGGAATAAATTCCTTTGGTGAGGTAAAGAACTTCCTCCCAGGAAAACAGAAAGATGGGAGGGAGGGGGTGGAGACTTTCCCCAGCCCTTCAGCTGCTGTCCCAGGAGACAGGAGAAGGCAGGACTCAGGGGCTTTTTCCATAATTCCTTCCATGGTAAGGGGTTCAGAAAAGGTTTTTTTTTAGTAAGGTGATGGGAAGGCATCACCCCTGGGAGTAAGGGGGTAGGAAGGGGAGCTGGGCCAGGGCCCTGACTCTGGAGCCTGGAAGTCAGAAGCCCTGTGGTATGGTTTAGTGGGAGCTGTTATTTTGACAGCACGGATGCCAGGGAATAGAGGATTTCAGAACTAGGCCAGACCACCTTCGGCTAACTCTAATTTTATTGCAGAAGAAACTGAGGCCTAGAAGGGGCAAAAGATGTGGCCTTTGGTACAGAGGGCATAAGCAGCAGAAATCATCAACTTCAGAGCGGAGAAGGACCCCAAAGGCCATTGAACTTAAGCAG